CACTTCCCCTGAATGGTGTTTAAGAAAGACCTTCCAACTGTTAGGTGCCAATAGAATCCCAAATGCCGGCCATCCATAAGACTCTGTGAAGCTAAATCTCAGAAATAAGTCCATAAAAAATCAGGAGTTGATTCAAGCCCCTCCCAGCCCGAGAATCATAAGCGCGAGAACCACGACACCCCAGCAAGACAAGTGAGCATCGGCGCCCCCACCTCTCACACACTCTATATCCCCCTTTTACTTCCTTTATAAACGATCATACTCCTTCAATTCTAGAATATTGTTTAAGTAATATTTTCTCTTTGTTGTTAACCTATAGATGAATATTACTCTAATGATGTTTAATAATCGGTTAAATAAATAAATATTCGATGGATGTAAGATCAGTGTGATGTAATACGAGTAGAAGAGGTTTTAAAATATGAGCCGAGGACGCAGTTGGCAATGTTGTCGGCGGTGGCTCGGAGTGTGGCAACAGCGGCGCGCACTCACTACCCCTCCCTCTCCCCTGACATATACACACACCCCAATATTGTTACTGAAGATTTAACTGAATGATTCATTCTCACTGAACACCTGGGGATTATGGAAGAGGAAACGAAACGGGAAAGTAACAGCACACACACCTACATACTATTATACGATACTGGCGGTTTCTCACTCCCTACTCCCCCCTCCCCACACCACACCTAGGACAGAGTAACCCAGCCCCTTCCTCTCTACCAACCCCCCACCCCCCCTAGGACACGTTGCTTAACCAGCCTGTTACTACGTGAAAACTCTGGCCAACCAAACATTCTTACATTATTTTGAAGACCATTCCCTTTATCAAGTGAAGTTAACTTAACCTAACCTTACTCTCCTCCTGCAGATAACAACCCCCCCCCACCCACACACACCATCTGAATCCCAACCCCACCCCTACCATAACCTAATCTAATCCCAACAACCCACCCCACCATAACCCAATCTAACCCAATCGTAACCCAATTCAACATAACCCATCTAACCCAACTGTAACCTACCCTACCATAACCTAATCTAACCTACCGTAACCTACCCTACCATAACCTAATCTAACCTACCGTAACCTACCCTACCATAACCTAATCTAACCTACCGTAACCTACCCTACCATAACCTAACATACCGAAACCTACCCTACCATAACCTAATCTAACCTACCGTAACCTACCTGTCTAACCTACCCACTGCCTAACCTCGAACCTGCCTACACTAACCTGCCGTACTCCCCCAACCCTGCCACTCCCTGCCATAACCTAATCTAACCTGCCGTAACCTGCCTACCATAACCTAATCTAACCTGCCCTACCACCTGGCCTAGTACCCTCCCCACTATCCTACCCGTAACCTGCCCAACCTAACCTGACTGCCGTAACCTGCCCTGCCATCCTAATCTCCTGCGAACCCTGCCTCCTCTTCCTCGTAACCTGCCTCCGCCATATCCTACCTACCGTAACCTACCCTACCATAACCTAACATACCGAAACCTACCCTACCATAACCTAATCTAACCTACCGTAACCTACCCTACCATAACCTAATCTAACCTACCGTAACCTACCCTACCATAACCTAGCCTAAAGTAACCTACCCTACCATAACCTAATATAACCTACCGTAACCTACACTACCATAACCTAACATACCGAAACCTACCCTGCCATAACCTAATCTAGCCTACAGTAGACTACCCTACCATAACCTACCCTACCATAGCCTAATCTAACCTACCCTACCATAACCTACCGTAACCTGACCTAACCCGAAATACTATCCACGTTATAAGTGATTGAATGAATGCTACTCTGCGTGTGTGTGTGTGTGTGTGATGAAAGGCCTGGAAAATATCACCTCCCTTCTCTTACCCTCTCCCCCCTCCCCCCCATCACCTCTCTCCTTCATCCCCTTCCCCCCCTTCCCTTCCCTCAGCCCTACACGGAGGAATTTCAGGTTCATGTAGTACATTACCAGTTATATGAGAGACTTTCTTTAATATTATCTCTCTTTCTCTCTCTCTCTCTCTTTGTGTACATAATTTCTTCCTTCCTTACCTCTATCTTCTCCCCTTTCTCTCTGATTCCCACCCTCCCTTCTTTCCTTCTCTCCCCCCTCCACCCTCCTTCTTTCTTTCTCCCCCTCCCTCCTTCTTTCCCGCCTTTCATGTCTTCTCTTCCTAACCCCATTCCTTATCTCTCCTCTGTCTTTCCTTCATTACCACAGAGAGAGAGAGAGAGAGAGAGAGAGAGAGAGAGAGAGAGAGAGAGAGAGAGAGAGCTGCCGTTATTCTCACCTGAGTCTCATGAAAGGTGAGAAGTTAATTTATTCATCAAAGTTGACAGTAATAGATGCATGGGTGAGTGATGCGTGTATGGTGTGATGTTCCCTTCTGCTGCTGCTACTACTACATACCTACCACCACCACTACTACATACCTACCACCACCACTACTACCACTACATACATACCTACCACCACTACTACCACTACATACATACCTACCACTACTACGACACATACCACAACTACTACCACTGACACCACACAGTAAGAGGCTTGACCCTAATTCTTCCCTGAAACCCACAAAATTCTTATTTCTCCACGTGTCTTAACTTTACCTGACACTAATATATGTAGTCTCTCTCTCTCTCTCTCTCTCTCTCTCTCTCTCTCTCTCTCTCTCTCACTTCCTCCTCAGCATATAAACTTTGTAATAAACCTTTAAAGCATACACTTGAACACTATATTACTTTGACACTGTCAAAGACTCCAGGCCACATGGCTTATTGTATCATGAACTATATAATTACTACATTAAATCAGGTGTGTTTGAGGACATTCTTGCTGTTTATCCGAAATTTGCTGCTGGTCCACATAGATTAGTCCTCAAATAGAATATGACTGTATATGAACCTCTGTCCTGTGTGGCAGTGAACAGTGATAGCACCCTCAGTGTCAAGACCTGACTCTATTACTCAGAATAGGCCAATTGTACTCCAAGCTTTGTCAATAAAGTTGTTAAACTAAAACCAACAAAAACTCTCCCTCCCTTTCATACACACATTACTCCCCCTCTCTCTGTTCATCTGACAGTATAACCTGCCTGACAGCAGACTCTCCTGTAGACATATTTTTTATTTTTATTTTTTTTACGGAGATTAGCCTACCCGGGCACAGGTCACTGACACACATCAGGGTCTGGGGGGGATATAATAATAATAATAATAATAATAATAATAATAATAATAATAATAATAATAATAAATAAAAATTGTGAGGTTTCCCCTCAGTGGCGATTGGCAACTACATCCTGTTGCAGTGTTAGTGTCACACACAGACACCACAGTGTGAATGCCGAATTGTGTGTCTGGGCTAGGCATTCTCTTGATCGTATACAGGTGCTGAAATTTTTATTCTCCGAAGAAAAATTTTTCTTAGTAGGGGCGATTGTCATGGGTTACCTTAGGCTTACCCACGCAACCAATTCCAAAGTTTGTTTTACTAGAGATAAGGCACCCGGCGAGCCATGACTGTGACATATATTTTCCATTAGTGGTATGTTAGCCAGCCTATAGGGGGAGGCCATTGAGACTGTTGTACTGTTCATTGCCTCACGCCCCAAAAACCTCATTTTAAGTACTATCCCCTAGGCCATGGGTTAGTTAAGACGTCGTCCCCACCCTCTACCTCCTGAAGGGAACGGGAGACCACACAGAGTCCTCCACTGCCACCCCGTCCTGTGGACCGTCGTCGACACGAGACTAAGTGTGTTAACCTAGGTTTGTTATCCCCGTGATATTATCACGTGTGGAAGCCTGGTTGCGACAATAGCAATCCAGGCTGGTCTATTGCACCCAAGTGGTTAATTCAAGTCACGCTTACCAGTTCTCCTTCCCACGAAAACCGTCTACAGTGACTGTCAGTGACGTGAGACTATGTGTGGTAACCCAAGAGTACATTTTTTGTTATTCCCCGTGAAAGAAGTTCTTGTGCGGAAGCCTGGTTGCAACAAGAGCAATCCAGGCTGGCAGTAAATGTATCACTTGAATAATTAAGGCTCTGTTAAGTTATACCCATAGTAGAGTAATCACATGTGTCCCCAAGTTGAAAATTCCCTCTTTTAGAAGATTAATTTTATTACAGAGTGAACGTGAGTGACTCATATATCCATGCAAATTGTAAATCATTGTATGGAAGCTTGACAAATATATGTAAGTGCAATTATCTGCCCGTATCTGTGATCCTATCTTATTATTACTAAAGGTAATGACTGATTGGTTATGACAAAGTATAACCAATAACTTAGAAGGATGTTGGAAATTAATGGAACTCATTAAATCATCATTTATCAAGTATAAATCATGGAATGTCGGGTGGTGGAGTGAATGTCTACGTAGATACACCATAATCTCGTGTAAGTACCAGTGTGAAGGTATCGAACACTACGGTAAGAAATATAAGAAACACAATATATTATAATCTTTATATAATATAATCCACACTTACACCACTACGATATCAAAACCATGACAGTGAGAAACGATATACAGTATGCATGTTGTACTGTCAATAGTAAGAGACACAATTGAGACCCTGCAATTGTGTGTAAATGAGGCAGAAAGTCAGATCAGCAACCTGGGACTTGGTCACACTTCCCAGGCAGTAGTACTTCCCTGTTTGATAACTGCCTACTACCTAAAACAGTGACACTTTTAACACCTTCCACATGCTTCAGAAATCCTTGCTTAAACTAACCTTACCTAGACTAAACTAACCCAGCCTAACCTAACCTAGACTAAATTAACCTAACCCAACCCAAACTAATCTAACCCAACCCAGCCTAACCTAACCCAACCCAATTCAACCCAACCTAAACCAAACCCAACCATGCTTTAAAAAATCAAGTACTTAATGTGACTTAATAATAAACACCAGTTAAAATTTAAAGAAAAAAAAAACAGGTGTTGCTTGTTACCGACCCGCAGCAGGTGAGAGGAGAGCAGCCAGCAGCAGCAGAAGGTGTGGTGACAGCAGGGGGTGGTGAGGGGGGCAGGACTGAAGGGCTAGACCGTAGTAGCTAGCCCGGCGGCGTGGCAAGCCTTGGGATGTCTCCGCTGCCAACCCCATCCTGCACCATGGCAACTCAACACCTGCAACAATAAAAACAGCGATAATTATGGCAACTCGACACCTGTGATAATTATAGCAACTGGACATCTGTGATAATTATAGCAACTCGACACCTGTGTTAATTATGGCAACTCAACACATGTGATAATTATGGCAACTCGACACCTGTGATAATTATGGTAACTCAACACGTGATAATTATGGAAACTCGACACCTGTGATAATTATGGCAACTCGACACCTACAACAATAAAAACAGCGATAATTGCAACGCTCGACATCTGTGATAATTATAGCTCGACACCGTGTTAATTATGGCAACTCAACACGTGATAATTATGGCAACTCGACACCTGTGTAATTATGGTAACTCAACACGTGATAATTATAGCAACTCGACACCTGTGATAATTATGGCAACTAAACACTTGTGATAATTATGGCAACTCAACACCTGTGATAATTATGGCAACTCGACATATGTGATGATTCGGCAACCTCAACACATGTGACAATTATGGCAACTCAACACGTGCTAATTATGGCAACTCGACATCTGTGATAACTATGGCAACTCAACACCTGTGATAATTATGAAAACTCGACATCTGTGATAATTATGGCAACTCATCACCTGTGATAATTATGGCAACTCGACATCTGTGATGATTATGGCAACTCGACATATGTGATGATTATGGCAACTCAACACTGGTGATAATTATGGCAACTCGACACTTGTGATAATTATGGCAACTAAACACCTGTGATAATTATGGCACCACGTGTGACTGCAACTCAACACCTGTGATAATTATGGCAACTCAACACATGTGACAATTATGGCAACTCGACATGTGATAGCTATGGCAACTCAACACCTGTGATAATTATGAAAACTCGACATCTGTGATGATTATGGCAACTCGACATCTGTGATGATTATGGCAACTCAACACCTGTGATAATTATGGCAACTCAACACCTGTGATAATAATGGCAACTCGACACCTGTGATAATTATGGCAACTCAACACCTGTGATAATTATGGCAACTCAATCCTGCAACAACAAATATAAAACAATAAGCCAATAAACAACAAAGAAACAAACATACAGAGGGGCAATGTTTACACTGTAAGACAAACAACTATTAAGTGTGTGTGTGTGTGTGTGTGTGTGTGTGTGTGTGTGTGTGTGTCTGTGTGTGTGTGTGTGTGTTGTACTGAATATTACTTTAAACATATGCATAAACACACAAACACAACACACACATATGCTTCTTGGGAGTATGATAATAATTAAGTTTAAATTCTTGCATTATATACCTCAAAGTATGAACAAAATAATGCTTCAATATTATGATGAGTATGATGATTTAACACTGAGTATGAGTTAACCTTTTGAGTATGATGAGTTAACCCTTTGAGTATGATGATCTGATGCCTTGAGTATGATGATTTAATACCACGAGTATGATTATTTAACCCCTGAGCATGATGAAGCAACTGAGCATGATGACCAACCCCAGGCATGATGACTTAACCCTTGAGCATGATGACTTACCCTTGAGTACGATTACTTACCCACTTGAGTTGAAGTACACTACAACGATGGAGGGAGGGAGAGAAGGTGAGGGAGAGAGAAGGGGAGGAAGGAGAGGAGGAAGGTGAGGGAGGAAGAAGGTGAGGGAGGGAGAGAAGGAGAGAGAAGGGGGAGGAAGAGGAAGGAGGATGCGGGAGGGAGGAAGAAGGTGGGGGGGAGAGGAGAGAGAAGGGGAAGGAAGGAAGGGAAGGAGGATACAAGGTGAGGGAGGAAGAAGGTGAGGGAAGGAGAGGAGAGAGAAGGGGGGGAGGAAGAAGGGAAGGAGGATGCAAGGTGAGGGAGGAAGAAGGTGGGGAAGGAGGAGGAGAGAAGGGGAAGGAAGGAAGGGAAGGAGGATACAAGGTGAGGGAGGAAGAAGGTGAGGGAAGGAGAGGAGGAGAAGGGAGGAAGGAAGGGGAGGAAGGTGAAGGAGGAAGGTGAGGGAGGAGAGAAAGGAGAAGGGAGAGGAAGGAAGGAAGGAGGATACAAGGGAGGGAGGAAGGGAGGAGGAAGGAAGGAAGGAAGGAAGGAAGGAAGGAAGCAAGGGTTTATATTGAGCACTCGTCCGCTAAAACCATCCATCCCCACGATAGAGAGACACACACACACACACACACACACACACACACACACAAACAGACGTGACCATCAGAATAACCATAGGCCAATAACATGCCTGGATGACCCTCTGTCTCTATCCAGCGTGAGGGAGGAAACACAGTAGTGAAGATGATTTATACTGTGCCCCAAGTGATGGCCAGACGTAATACATGTGATGTAACCACCACTATCTTCACTACTATTGGCACAACCACTACTATCACCACCACTACCACTACTACCATCACTACCACCACTACCACCATCACAACCACTACTATCACCACCACTACTAGCACACCACTACCACTACTATTATCACTACCACCACTACCACTATCACCACCACTACTATCACCACGACTACCACTATCACCACCAATACCACAACCATCACCACCACTACCAGCACACCACCACTACTACCATCACTACCACCACTACTACTATCACTCACCACCACTCACCACATCACCACACCACTACTATCACCACACCACTACTATCACCACCACTACCACTACTACTATCACTACCACCCACTACCACCACCACTACTATCACCACGACTACCACTATCACCACCAATACCACTACTATCACCACCACTACTAGCACACCACTACCACCACTACTATCACCACCACCACTACCACCATCACGACCACTCACCACCACTACTATCACCACACCACTACCATCACCACCACTACCACCATCACCACCACCACCACCACTACCATCACCATCACTTCCACTCATCACCACCATCACCACCACCACCATCACCACCACTACCATCACCACCAATACCACCACTATCACCACCACCATCACTACTATCACCACCACCACTACTACTTCATCACCACCACTACCACCATCACCACCAACACCACTACTATCACCACCACCGTCACCACATCACCATCACTACCACTACTATCACCACCACCAGCACTATCACCACCATCACTACCACCACCGCCAGTACTACCATCACCACCACCACCATTACCACCACCACCATCACCACCATCACCACCACTACTATCACCACCACCACCACATCACCACCACCACCACCACCACATCACCATCACTTCCACTATCACCACCACCACACCATCACCACCACTATCACCACCATCACTACTCACCACATCACCCACCACTACCACATCACCACCACTACTACTATCACCACCATCACTACTATCACCACCAACAACCACCACCACCACTACTATCACCCCACCACTCACCATACTATCACCACCACCATCACCACCATCACTACTACCACATCACCACCACTACTATCACCACCACCACCACTATCACCACCACCACTGCTATCACCACCACTACTATCACCACCACTCACCACCACCATCACTACATACCACTATCACCACCACTACTACCACTACTATCACCACCACCACTATCACCACCACCACCATCACCACCACTATCACCACCATCACTCAATAACTACTACCACCACCACCACCACTACTACTATCACCACCACTACCACTATCACCACCATCACTACTAACACTCACCACCACTACTATCACCACCACTACCACTATCACCACCATCACTACCTAACACACCTCACCACCACTACTATCACCACCACTACCACCACCACCACTACCACTACTATCACCATCACTACCACTACCACTACTATCACCACCACACTACCACTACTATCACCACCATCACTACCACTACCATCACCACCATCACTATCACCACCATTACTACTATCACCACTACTACCACCACCACACCATCACTACTATCACCACACCACCACCATCACTACTATCACCACCACCAACACTATCACCACCACCACTACCACCACCACTACCACCACTATCACCACCACTACCACTACTATCACCACCACTACCACTATCACCACCATCACTACTACCACCACTATTACCACTATCACCACCATCACATCACCACCACTACCACCACTCATCACCACCACCACTACTATCACCACCACCACCAACACCACCATCACCACCACCACCACCATCACTGCCACTCATCAGCACCACCACCATCACCACCACCACTACCACCACCACCATCACCACCACTACCACCATCACCACCACCATCACCACCACCATCACTACCACTATCACCACCACCATCACTACCACTACTATCACCACCACTACCACTATCACCACCATCACTACTACCACTATCACCACCACCATCACCACCACTATCACCACCACTACTACTATCACCACTACTACCATCACCACCATCACTACTATCACCACCACTACCACTATCACCACCACTACCACTATCACCACCACCACTACAACCACTCATCACCACCACTCCACCACTATCACCACCACCACCACTATCACTCCTCACTCATCACCACCACTACCACTATCACCACACCACTACCACTCATCACCACCACCACCACTACCACTATCACCACCACTACCACTATCACCACCATCACTTCTACCACTCATCACCACCACCACAACCACTACTACCACTATCACCACCACCACTACTATCACCACCACTACCACTGCCATCACTACCACTACCACTATCACCACCACCATCACTACCACTATCACCTCACCACCATCACTACCACTCATCACCACCACTATCACCACACCACTACCACCACCACCACCACCACCACTACTATCACCACCACCACCACCACCACCACTATCACCACCACCACCACCAGGAGTTACACCAGCTATAGCTATCGATTTCTGGTCGTCCCCACACACACACACACACA